TGATTATGTATGCCTTGAAAATGTCAATAGATAAAAGTAAAGAGCAACATTTAAAAAAATAGTAAACACTCACATGAGCAATCTACAAATCAGTTTAATTGTTGAATATTTGCTAAGATTAGCAGTAATGATTGTTTTCTGGAAATTTATTTACTCAGCTGTTTGGGTCACCAGTGGCAGAAATCAGTTTAATGGTCAGATTTCAATTTTTTTCAGTTCAGATCTTTGAAAATGTGTTGAACCATTAGTGTGTCTTAAAAAGTTTAAGTTTGGTTGTGAAGCAATGAAGAGAGATATAAGGAAGTTTGTTTTTAAAATAAATAATGTAACAATAATGTTTTTAAAATATTGGTTTTTTTAAATAACACCATCTCCAATAAACCTGCCTCTCCCTCTTGATCTGGCAGTGAGTCCTACTGAATTCAATAGAACTTAACCCTGATCAGATGGGCTTATACTGTAGCACTGATTTCTTATGACCCTTTTTTTCTGAGAAATCAGCAGCTGTTCTGTTCTGCCATGTTCATGAATTTAATTTATATTGAAAAGTCAGTGCAACTGCATCTCATCTGTGTTACATATGTAAGTAATAATGCCTTGAAGATGAGTTACTCCTCGTTCAACATGGAAATGAAACTGTCTTGGTTGAGGAAAAAAATATGTCTCAGAAAGTTCTCTCTTGGTTTATAAAATCTGTCTTCTGCCTTCAGATTATTTGATTATTCCTGGTTATTTAAGTTTTCAGAATCAGGATCAGCAGAAACCTTGAAAATGTGACCCCCCCCCCCCCCGATTTTTTTTCAAGAACACAAAGAAGTTCTATGTCTGAATAATAATAAAAATATCAAATTATTATAAGATATGATTGATTAAAGCTGATTTAATATATAGAAAGAAGTAAACAGTTTTACTTGGGGAAATCAGATTACCTAGCAAATAGTTGCTGGAAACTTTACTATGGAAAAAGAACTAGGCTCCTGAACAAATGTCTACCAAATACCTGAAACAGCTTTTGTATGCTAGTCAGCCTGATGATAAATGAAGCACATATAGAATTTCATTTTATATTCCATGACAAAATACCGTTAGGAATGAAATTGTCTGAGTTCATGGAAGATGCACAATTCCAAATTCATACTAACAAAATTCAATTGCTGTGCTCACATAGCATGCCACAACCAGGTGACTGGATCATATTATGGCTTGATGTAAGATTAGGTTCATACAAATACTAAGACATTGGCTTGATTCGCACAACATGTTAAACTCCCAAATGCCATTTTAACTTGTTTCACAAAGCTGACCGTGACATTATACATTCTAAACAGTTTTATTCTATCCTTTAGCAAAACAAAAAACAAAAAAACCATAACACTGTAGTGTTGGAGTTTGCTGGATTCTTCCATCTATCTTTCATCTGCCCACTATTCACCCGTACCAAAATCTTTCCAAAGTATTCCCCCTTGGTGGTGAAGGTGATGGTCCCCCTGGTTCAGATGCAGCTGTATGGATAGTGCCTCTGGTTGCCTCTTTCTCCTGTAATATATGGCTCTGTGGATAATATATTGTTAGATTATTATTTTTTTCTCAAAAAGGATGGCAAGAGAGAAATGATTGAGGCTGCTGCACTCTTGAAATGTGCAACCTGCCTCGCCTCTTTTAAACGGCAGTGGAATAATGTCCTCTAAATTATATTCCCTTCAGTTATAGTGGTAAAGCTCATGCATTTCATACATCAAGAGATCTTGTGGAGCTTCCCTTGAGATTTTGTGATAGACTGTTGCATATCGAGGCGCATCTCTCCCCAGGAAATAATGACCCTGGCCATGGTAAAATATTTTATCAGTGCAGCATTATCTCAAGATAATGGCACTATTAATGCTTGTCACCGCTGTATGCTTCCTGTAATTTGGTTTGCTTTTTTACTGCTGTTCAGCACTCTGCAGAATCGCTTGGAGTTTATCACAGACTTCCACAGTTGGGACTATTCTCTGTTCCAGGATTCACTGTATAAACCTTCACACTGACAATGGCTTGGCATTTCCAAGCAAGCTCTCCCTCCTTTTTGCCTCAGAACTTAGGTTTTGTTTGGGATATTTTTTTTTAATGTATGTGACAATTAAGTCTCTCAACAACCTCATCCAAACTGTATTTCCTAGATTTTTATTGTATACATGCTGTTTTCTTCCCTTATTGTTCATCTGATTGCACTGTCAGCTACTGAGAAGAAAAACATAAAGCAATATCTATTTAAAACAGTTAAGATAAGTTAAAAGCCTTTTTGAAAAGATGTATGTTAGCGTTTTTTTAAAAAGGGGACAAGGAAGTGAAGCAATACCAAGAGAGAACTTACTGAGGCAGATTTTTTTTCTCCTCAGTTGAGACAGTTTCATTTCCAAATTGAACAGAGAGCCAGTTTGGTCCAGTGGTTAAGGCACCAGACTAGAAAAAGTAAGACTGTAAGTTCTAGTCCCATCTTAGCCATAAAGCAGCTGGGTAACCAGGCCAGCACTATCTCTCAGCCCAATTCACCTCACAGGGTTGTTGCTGTGGGGAAAATAGGAGAAGGAAGGTAGATGTATTCACTACCTTAAGATATTGGTAAAATAAAAAAAAAAACACAAATGAAATATTGGAAGTACTTAAGTAGCTAATTCATAATAATACAACACAAGCCAAGAACTAATTGGAACCACATGGCAAGAGGCCTGGTTTCAATCAAATAATGACACAACTGGATTTTTTTTTAAAAAGTAAACAGTGATGTAATTGTTATGAGAATAGAACATGAACATTTATGTACAATGGATTGTCTCATTAAATTTATTGGAGTTTGTTTAAATACTTCCTTTGTTTTAATAAAAATATTTTGTTTCTTTACTGATAACAGAAAACAAGCCCATCTTTTTAATAAGCCAAAATATATTTTCTAATAGAATATTGAGTGAAAAACTGTTCCATAAGCACTTAATGGCTGGAGAGCAGACAAAGGAGTGATATAAGTATGTGTACTTGCACCTTGATTGTTTCCCATAAAGTTAAGAGGCCAAATGGCAGCGGCAGCTGTTCTGGGGAATTTTTTTGCTCATTAGTCTTGTCCACATACACTAGCATTTCTCCTTTCATTGGCAGCAGCTTTCTAACAGTTTCAGGAGGGCCTCTTTTTAACAAATGATGCCAGAGTTTGAACCTTGGACCTTCTTTATTCAAGTCATATGCCCTGCTAATCAGCTAGTCCTGCAATGTTATTAAATTTTAGACTAATACTGCCAAAACAAGTGTAGTATCTGCACATGAGTGGCATTTAACAGAGGTCAGTTCAAGTAAATTCATCAACTGCTTAATTCTGGCATGTGTGTACAAATTCTCTGAAGTAAAACTCAGAGAATGGGAAACTTGCAAAGACATCAAGTCAATGAAAGAGATGCACTTTAAAAAGGACATGCAGCCACCATTAAAACTTTTTTGAGCTCCCCATCCACCCCCCATGGATACCACTGGTTAGTTGGATTGTGCATTGATCTCTTATTTCCAATATTTCTCTGCAAATTAAGCACATCCTTAGATTTCTACTTTGTATGGAAGAGAAAGAGGGCTCTGCTGTGCAATTAATGTCCCATGTATGTATGGCAAGTTACAGTCCTCCAAGAATCATGATGTTAACATATACAGTATATTTGTCTACGTATGTCTATATTAGTCACACGTCCCTTTGGAGGCATCAATCAAACTACATGCATTTCTTATTTATCTTTGCAATGATTTTTTAAATTTGCTTAAACAATGAGAAGCTGGAGCTAAGGATAGTATATTCCCTAAATCCAGTGAGTAAATTTTCATCTGACATTAGACTTGTACTTGACATTTCATAGTTTTGTTTGAAAGTTCTTGGGCGCGTAATGTAAACATAATTATGTTCTCTTAACTTGATTCTTTCTGTCTTAAATTGTAAAGAAAAAAGTTGGTTTCGCATTGGCATTATTGTCATTGTATGAATTTTACTCAATTAAGTAAGGCAGAAAAATTCAAAAAGACATATGTAAAGACATTTTCACCAAAGCTTACAAATATTAAATAGAAATTCTTTAACACATTGTAAATAGAAATCAGATAGAAATGAAAATATATTGAGGCATGCATGTATGCTCACACCCTTACACACACACATACACACACACCAGGATATTAAATGCTTGTAGAAAATCACTATTATACCATCACTATGCTGCAATCTTGTAATCATTTTTTTCTAGCTTGCATCCAGGAACAATCAGAAGTAACAAAAATTTTATTATACGCTATAAATACTATAAATAGATGAATGTAATGATAGTGACAACATAAGATTAAATGCAGTAGAATAAAAATTAGGTCCCATATATATTAGACAATAGCTATGCAAGATGGACTATAGCCGTGATTGCGAACCTATGGTATGTGTGGTAGAAGTGGCATGCAGAGCCACTTCTGCCAGCATGCAAGAGGTTGCCTGGAAGAGCCCTACTGTGCATATGCATTTGCCCGCTGCCAGCCAGCTGATTGTCGGGTATCTGCTGCTCATGCATCAGGGAGACACGCACATGGGAGACGTGCACACATGCGCGGAGGCATGTGGCATGTGGTTTGCATGAGCATTCACAGAGGCATCGGGTGCAGGGGGGTCTCATGCACATGTGCAGGGAGGGTGGGGGAGTCGCACGTGCATTGCATCATGGATGCAGGCATGCGAGGGTACTTTTGGCAGGTTCACCATCATGGGACTATAGAAATCAGGATCTTTACAAGGAGGCATAGGAGATAAATGATAATGCATTGTAAAATAATATCATCACAGAAGCCAAATGTATATATGTATGTGTATACACACACACACACACACACACACACACACACACACACAATGAATACACACACATACACAGTACTAAAGCTATGAGTGGTGCAAAGAGCCATGGAAAGATACATGCTCGGCATTACAAGAAAGATAGAAAGACCTTCACATGGATTAGAGAACAAATAAAAGTATATGATATCATCAAGAGAGTAAAAGAATTGGAATGGAAATGGGCTGGTCACATAGTAAGAAGAACTGATGGCAAGTGGACCAAAGCAGTCATAGAATAGATCCTACTTGATAAAAAGTATCAATGAAAGAGATTTAAAACAAGATGGATCTATGACATCAGAAGTATTTTGGTATTCTTCCTCCTCCCCCCTCCCCCTCCTCCCTTTTATCCTCATTGAGATCTGTCACATTAATACTTCTTATGAAAATAGTTGCACCTTCTGGTAAACTATTATCAAAATCAAGCAGGTAAAAGAACAAAATTAATTTGATAGACATTTGAACTGGACAAAAAAAGCTATTAAAATGGAGTAGATGTCAGGGGGAAAAAACTGTCAACCTTAATTCAGTCCCACAAATATGACTGAGTTCACAGAAATTGAAACTGAGCAACAAACATTAAAAATCTCAGACACTGGATTTTTACAAGTCATTTACCTTTATGTTTATGAATACGCAAGCTTTGCATATTCATTGAAAGCTTTAGTGAGTTCTTACAAAAAAGTGAAGCAAAAAACCCCCACCTCACTCATCATTATGTTTTAGAGAAGTAAAAAGAATCACTTTCCTGCAACCTGACAATCTTCATCACACAATCATTTTGGATACACAACCAGCAATGGTTGGAATGCAGATGGAATTAATCTGTAAAGGTTTCAACACATAAACTGCTTTAAAATTGTCTTCCCTCTTTTCATTTTTAGGAAACGAATCTCTACTCAGTTGATGTACTACCTGGCCATGGTTATGAACTATTTTGAAAATAAATGCAAAATAAATAAATAAAACAAACAACAACAATAATAATAACAAAATAGAAGGTGAGCAACCTTTTGGTGTTTGGGGGATACATTTCATAAAATCATTATGTAAAAAGCTAAAGGCTATAAAGGATATTATAGTAATATGAAGACATAAACAGGGTGACATTTTGAAATATTCCAGAGTTTTGAAGTTTCTTTCAAGGTAAATAAATGCATTAAATCTATTGGAGGAACACCATATTTATGTCATGGGCGCAAACCCACAGACAAGTGCAATACCGTTATTTGAATGGTGTAGATTTAGTTAAACATAACAAATGGAATGAGACACATAAAGAGATAGAGTCCTACTAGTTGATCAAGAAACATAAATCAAAAATCACTTCGGATGCATAGGCCCAATTGAATGTTTTTGTTAATGGTTGGAAATCCACATGCAGTTCTAAAACATAAAAGGTTCTGTGTTATGTTTTATGAATGAGACCAAATACATGCACTATGAAGTTGTGAACAGAATATAATTACCTATCTCTGAAGCTTTAGTTGAGATTTTTACCCACTGAATTCCTATAATTTCAAAGATAACTGTTTTGCATTTTCAGCCATGTTTTACCTCTCAACAGTCATTACTGCTTATTAAAAATATTTGATATTAGAATAAAAAGGTTTTAATGCAGAGAAACAAAGTAAAAAAATTAAATACAAACTAAAAAAGAGATTTTTTTAAAAAAATCCAAGTTTGGAATTACTGGTTGTTTTAAGATAACATAATTTATAATTTTTTAGATAAGATAACATTCAGTTTTGAACATATAAAGCAGTATTTTTAAAAATTTGTCAGCTTTAAGACTTCAACTGCTGACTGAGCAATTGTGGAGTTGGGAGTCCAAACATTTTAATCTTGTCAAGTTTGAGAAACACACTAATATATAATAGTATTGGTTGTAGTTTCCATTATGTTGATATTTGCCAGTTCACAAGCAAAGAGTGAAACATATCTCCCAGACCATTGCTCCCAGACTTTAAATCCTTGGTATCATTTTCTGACTATATAAAAGTGTTGCTACCATCCTCAATAAATACAATGTTCTTCACACATTGATAAATTCTGCATTCAACATGACATTGACATCTGTTTAAAAAATTCTCCTCTCATGAACATATGAAGAAATTTATGAATGCAACAATAGTGAGACAATCTCATATCACACATGTGACTAGCCCCTTCATCAGTTTATCTTTGAAGGATTGTATATGACAGCAAATATTTTCTGAACATTTTTCATGTTGAAGAATCTTGAATAATACTTTCCTGAATTAGATTTAAGAACAAAATTATTTTCACTGAAAGGAATTTTCATTCTTGAACAGACAGCTATTTTTCAATTTGAATATAATCATATTTTAAGGATATTTTATGACCCACCTCTCCCTAGTTACTTTTGCATGTTCCATCAGATCCATCAGGAGAGGCGTGCTATGGGTTTTATCTACCAAGCAATGTCATCTCTTCTACCAACATGCCCTTCCTTTGAGATATCATTTCCCCAGAACCTACACTGGCGTCTACCTTCTAGGATAGCTAAATGAATGAATGATTGAATGAATGAACAATAGATTTTCAACTATCATTATTATTTAAACATTTTAATGTTTAAAATGTTCGAATTCCATTTGCTGCTTATTACTCTTTTTCCTAGAACAAGCACCATTAATCCCTCCCAATATTTTTTTATATCCCAAATCCATTAAACATGCTCAATCCTTTTGGAAGTTTTTTTTTCCATCTGATTGTCCTTTGCTGGTATTATTAGTATTATTTTTGTTGCTGTTATTTCTACAACCTTATCTTCCTAAGCCTTCTGATACCTTGATAGGACCCACCCATGGAAATGAGGAAAATGTTAGCATAAAATAAGAGGATGTATGAGGCTGTGTCTTGCAGTTATTTTTCTCAAATGCCTATTATTAGTTTTTGCAATAGCAAGATTTTAGGAACTCTATACATTTAACATTAAAACATGAACCATGTTTTAAATATTATTAAACCAATGGTTGCATTCTTAGACCTGTTTTCCTGTGTTGACTCACTATTGTATAAGACAATACCAAGCTGAAGGAGAATCAGCAGCCACAGATAATATGCATTGTATCACATTTGTATTTTATGCAAATGGATACAGAAGAAATGGAACATCAAGAAATATCCCAAAGCAGCAACTCCAATTTAGGCATTGTCATGATGTGCGAATTTGAAATTAAAGGAGGTTTAATTTAAAATTAAACTAAATTTCTCCAAGTTGGTGTCTATGACAAAAAAATAAATTATACTGAGTAAACAGGTATAGGGTTGCATTTTTAAGTATCAACTTTATTCTAATAGACTTGCTTAATGTTATATAGAATATACATGCACACAACTGGAGTGTTCAATTCCAAAAATATTATTTGTATTTTTATAATTTTTATACTACCAGCAAACTATTAGTGGTTTAGAATGGGAAGAGAAAATATTTGGGAACAAGCCATTTTCATTTTTAACATTAATCTTCAAGCTATCATGGGACTCTGCTTGTAATCACATGACTCAAATGCCCAAAATGAAACCAATATGAAAGGACAAAGGTTGCATTGTGACCAGAGGTTGTGGGTGCTGCGACACTGGAGGTTTTTAAGACGAGATTAAACAACCATTTGTCTGAAATGGTATAGGGCAGTGGTTGCCAACCAGTGGGCTGTGGCCCACTGGTGGTGATCCATGAGAAAATTTTGGTGGTCCACAGAGAAATGTCACCCCCAAAGCAGCCCCCAAAGCAATTAATCTAGGCTGTGCGGGAACACAAGTCTGCGCTGCCACATGGCCAGCGGGAACACAAGACTTGTGTTGCACTGTGAACAACACAAGGTAGTGAGGAGTGGGGGGAAAGGGCAGAGGTGGGGAACTTGCCTCACTCGCCCCATGCCTCACCTGGCCACCGGGCTGCTTCTTTCTGTTGTTTCTTTTTCTGCTTTTGACTGCATGCAAGGAAAGCCGCAAAAGTCTTTCTTTCCTCTAAACTCCAACAGAAATGAGTCTTTGGCACCCTGCAAGAGGCTGCCCTGGCAAATACTTATTTCTGGCGGAGTTTGGGGGAGAGAAAGAAAGACTTACGTTGCTTCTGCTGCTTTCCTTGCATGAAAACAAAGTCTCTCCCTCTCTCCTCTCTCTCTCTCTCCCTCCCTCCCTCCCTCCCTCCCTCTCTCTCTTTCTCTCTCTCTCTGAGAATGGAGCTGGAGATGGTACCTTGCAATCCCAAATAATGATCAATCTGTAGGAAAACAGGGTGGGGAATTTTCCTGCAGACCAGAAGCCAGAAAGGAAATCGCAGAAAAGAAAAGAGGAGGGATTGAGCCCTAAAAAAAAGGGAGAAGAAAGGACATCAAAGTGAGTGGGGGAATGACTCCCCAAGGAAGAAGGCAAGCTTGGAGTAGCAGAGGCAGAAAGCTGGTAAACCCAGCTCTTATCAGCAGCTATCCATGAGGGACGAGGTGAGGGAATAAGGAAAAATGACCATGCAAAGTGCCTGGGCAGTGTATTGCAGCTGCTGGACAGGTGGGCAAAGTTCTACCCGCTGCTGCTGCTTTTTTGCTTTTGTTTCCAGAGAGCACCGCCACTGCCATTGAGCAGCCCAGTGCTTGCTCCACCACTGCACCTGTATTGATCTGGTCTCACACACGCACGCACACACATGCTCTGCCACTCAGCCCAAGTAAAGGATCTTCTCCAAATGCCCACCCCCGCGTCAACAAAGAAGTCATGCCTGGTTCAGCTGGAGAAACTGCTTTGTGGCTTTTCTCTCCCTCTTTCTTTCTCTGCTCCCTGCCTCACCCCATGGAAGGGCTCATGCAGCCATGGAGCGGACTGGTGGCCTCTTCAATGGGATTACAACTTCAAGGGGGGGCATCAATGACCTGGGAAGGTTTTTTAGGGTTTCGCTTTCCAATTCTCTGGGAACTCAGGTGTGGCTTTGGTGGCAAGCCTGGCAGCTATATGTATCCCAAGAACATGTCTTCCTCCTCCCTAAATCTGAAAAAGCAGGGGTTCCAAGCTGGGAAAATCAGCGTTTAAGTGAATTTCAGAACTCTGACTATATCGACCATCATCCAGATCAGGGGTCTCCAACCTTGTCAACTTTAAGCCTGGTGGACTTCAACTCCCAGAATTCCCCAACCAGCTTTATTAGTGATCCACGCAATTTAAAATTATGAGTTTGGTAGTCCCTGAGGTCCAAAAGGTTGGCAACCCCTGGTATAGGGTTCCCTGCTTGATCAGAGACTTGCACTAGAATTATCATCATCATTATTATTACAGAGACTTGCACTAATTATCTCTAATGATCTAAGTGCCAGAGCCCACTGTAACAACATCACCAAAAAAGCATTAAGAGTTGTTAACCTAATCTTGCGTAATTTCTTCTCTGGTAATATTGTACTGCTAACTAGAGCATACAAAACATTTACTAGACCAATTCTAGAATACAGCTCATCTGTCTGGAACCCACTCTGCATATTGGACATTAATACAATTGAGAGAATCCAGAGATATTTCACAAGAAGAGTCCTCCACTCTTATGCTTGCAACAGAATACCTTAAATACCTTAAATACTTGAAATTTTAGGCTTAGAAAATGTAGAACTACGCTGCCTTTGGTCTGACCTAAGCATACACAAAATTATCTGCTACAATGTCCTACCTGTCAATGACTACTTCAACTTCAACTTCAGTCACAACAATACACAAGCACAAAATAGATACAAACTCAAGGTAAACCACTCCAAATTCGATTGCAGAAAATACGAAAATTCAGCAACAGAGTTGTCAATGCCTGGAATGCACTACCTGACTCTGTGGTTTCTTCCCCAAACTCCCCAAACTTTAACCTTAGACTGTCTACTGTTGACCTCACCCTATTCCTAAGAGTCTGTAAGGGGTGTGCATAAGCGTACCAATGTGCCTACCGTCTCTGCCTAATGTCTCCCCTTTATTGATGCCTATTATACCGATATAATCATAATCATGTTATAATTATATTTGTTATACAATACATGCTTGACAAATAAATATAAATAAATAAATAGAAGACTTCAAAGGCCTTTCCAACTCTGTAATTCTGTTATTCTGAAAGGAAATATATTTTGTCAGTTGAACTCTCTCACACCCAGACATCTATAGTCCAATACTTTGAAATCAAATTCTTAACATTCAAAACTTTGGCATCAAATTATTGGTAGCATGATTCTCCCCCGCCCCCTGTTTTGCATTATTGGCAATATTGGCAATATTTTCACTTAAGCAAATCCAATCTACTAATCTGGTTTCTAATGTAAAGTGGTTTGTTCCAAATTAATCAGGAAGAATTAGTCATGTTGAGTGGAAATTATAGGAACTGAAATTTGGCATAATCTGACAGCATCATGCTGAAAAAAAATCTACGATCAGTATAATGCTTTGTTCTTTGATGGTATCCATTTTAATTTGTTATTACATCAGTCTATTGTAGATAACTTAATATTACCAGCTTAGTTTAGAATCTAACATTAATAATGAGACAATAAAATCACCAGACAACCCTGAATTAATGCTTTCACAAGTAAGAGAATATTGCTTTTGTCACCTCTCTGAATCTTTGTGCTGACTTTCTATATTGCTTCTTTTGTCAACTTGTTGGCCTTAATAAATCATTGTTCTTGACCTCTTAATTACAAATCCCTGGAGTGTCAAGATATACTTTGGTCCTCTGTGGCAGGCCAATTGGCTCCTACTATCTTAATGATGCTTCCTGCTTTGTTCACAGTTTGATTCTTTAGAAGTCTGCATTATCATAAATTCTTGACAGCTGGAATGTGTTTATCATTTGATGTCCAAACCCCACTGGAGTCCTCAAGGATATTTTAAATTCCTCTATCACTGTTTTGTCCCCTTGTACATTAAATATCAGGATTGACAAAATCATAGTGTAGAAGTGGAAAACATGTTTTTCATATTGTCCCATGGAATTAGTTACAATATACATTAAAAGTGTTCTAGAAAAACATTAACTAGAACTAATATTCTCCACAATACAAAATACAAATACAAACAAATAAACTACCAAGAACATAGAGAACTGGCATTGAACTTCATCAGTCTATCAATGTTTTCCCTACAGCTGACTGAGGAGGAGGAGGAGGAGGAGGAGGAGGAGGAGGAGGAGGAGGAGGAGGAGGACTCTGCCATTTCTAAAATGCAATATGAAAATATCCAAAGCCTTATTTTCTTGTTGCATTGAAAAGCCTCTTTTTAGATGGAAGGATTCCATAGGAACAAGTGGGCAACTCAGTGTTTTACTTAAAACTAGTAATTATTGTGGCATGGACCAGCAGTGGATGAGGTAGAAGAGAGGAGCAATATATTCTTAAAAGTGTCTGAAGATGGAAAACAGGAATAGGAAGGATGAGATGAGATGATTTCTTCTACATACACTAAGCTGTAAGGGAATAAATGAAGCTCAGAGCCAGAAAGGGGAATGAAATAAGAGGTTGTGGAAATGCCCCAAATCAGAGAATTTTCATCAGCTACATATGTACTTTACCTTCGTAAACATGATCCAATATCAAACATTTTTAAAAGTAGCAGTGAGTATTGAAAGAAGCAAATATTATTCAAACTAGAAAACAACCATCTTTTCAAATATACCAATTCTTTTTAGTAAGCATGATAAATAAAGCTTTAGGGATCACAATAATTTAATATTGTTTTATCTTTCATATAGCATGTAACAGAGGAGGAGCCTGAGTTGGAATTTCTGTGTAATCATTAATATTTGAGTGACTAAATGATGAGCATAGTAACTGGGATGTGAACTAGAATTGGTTTTGGACTAACATGACAGTGGAGGTCATTTCATCAACTATGTCTGTCTACTTTGGGATGGAAGATGCTGTTTTTATTGCCCCATCCCAGAGTGGAGGACCTTGCTGAAGCCTTCATTCAGGCCACTTGGCTATGGGTATGACCTATCTACCAGCTGAAATCACAGTGACAGTGTTGCTGGTGGCAGAGCAACATGGATAGGTGTGTCCCTGGAGCTTTTGAATCCAATAGTGATGTTGATGGACTTTCTGGATCTCCTTTGACTGAGCTACAGATGTCTTGGGTAGACTGTTAATTAATTAATATTCGAGGGACTAAATGACAGGGATAGTAACTGGGTCTTTTTGGTGGTGGGACTTGGTTTTGGAGTAACATGACACTGGAGTTCTATAGTTGTCCAGGGATAAGGTCATGAGATATTTTCTGTGGAGCCTATAAGGCCTGGCAAAAAGGAAGTGGACTAAGTTTGTGGATGTTGCTTTTTTCTTGGATAAGGGCTGGAAAGAGGTGGAAAACTGAGTGTATATAAGGGTATGGGATCTGAAGACTATGTTCTTTGGGCCTTCATTTATTGGGGTTAGGGTTAGGGTCCCAAGTATTTAGGTAAAGGTCAGAATAAACTCTGTGTCATTCCATTGTTCTGGAACAGTTCATCTCTTCATTACCTGGGAAGTAGGCTATTTTGTGCTTCTTAAGCCTGGGAATTTGTGGGAATGAGGAGAGCCTAGTCAGCAATAGTAGTATGGATTGGGTTTTAGGTACTAGTGAGACTGACTCTAGGTGCTGGATTTACCCTCATCTATTTTTGTGAGTGGATTGTTTAGAGTAGGCTGAGTACCGTTGGTAGAGACATTTGGGGTAGGTATATTGTGTGATTGGCAGGAGAAGTTTTACTTAAATCCTGTTTGTGTTGATTAGAAAAAGAGGGAAATAGTTGTGTTTATGAAAGGGCACTAGATACCACACTATCCATACTACTGATCCTCTCAGTCTCATCTCCTCTTTTGGAAGAATATACTTTCCTATGTTTGATTGGATTGTCCTGGTGAAGAGAGTAGAATTCTATCTAAGATGTTTCTACCGTTTTTTTTTAAAGTAAGCAATTATTTTGGTACCATGAAGGAGCCCAATTACTTAGTTAAAAAAAATGATAAGTTGAGAGCATAGGACTATGTGAAGTTTGATAAAAAAAAACCATAATATTCCTGCTGTACCTAGTTTAAAATTTATCTATGTTGCTGATAAAAAAAGTTCCCAAAGGTCATTTCAGGAGGATTGCTGTAATGTCAGCACACTATAAGCTCACCAACTTTGCCAAGTTAGAAAGAAATAAACATAGATGCATTCAGCTCCAATTCTCAGCAGACAGTTTCAGGTGTATAAATTATTCCTAAGCAGTTTGAGTATTACTGTAAGAGAAAGGTTTCCTGGCTGAGAAGATGCAATTTGCTTTCATTATGTTCAACTTTCCAAGTTGCTTTCATGTTGGTTTTGACCTATCAAACAGACATATAAACTGACGGCTTCCCCCTTTAATATTATTTTAAATTATTGAGATTAAAGCAGTCTCACTAAATATTTATGACTGATTGCAAACTCTACTGTTTTTATTTTTTTTAAAAACCACTTGAAAACTACAACACTCTTTAAATGTTTGATTAAGGATACCTTTTATTTATATCAGCATATAGAAGAATACAGCTGCACAAAGCATACATCAATGTCCAAAGTAAAAAGATATTAAAATTCATAAAGTTCATTTTTTAACATTCTATACAAACTGAGTACTGTAGCTTAGAGTATGTCATAGAGTGAATATCAGCAATAAAATTACAGGGCTTCTAGTTTCATATTTCTTGAAGTACACTCATGGTCATCTACAATTTTACCATCGAGTTAAGCTTATTTCTGAAAAAAACCTAAATTATCCTTAATCGTACTTTGTGCAACAGTGGAAGACTCTGTCAGAGAAAATTATCTATATTTCAATGAGTTTGAGTTCAGGCAAAGAGAACATTTCAGAGGTAGCTTTGTTTCACTTTGCACCCTTTCGGGGGCGGGGGCGAGGGGAAATGCAGAAAGAGAAAATCATTTACAAGCAATTTCCTTGTTTAGTAAAGTAGATTAGATTGAAAAACTGTGACAGAACACTGGTTAAAATGAGTCCAGGAATGGTATGCCTGATTAGTTAAAGTTTTCTACTTCAATACAAATTCATATTAAATTAAATAGACTAAATTGGAGTTAGTTTGGCTTAACATGCAATTCTGTTTTTGTAACTACTTCCCACATGCCAGCAATTCTGCTGTAATAGAAATTCAGGAAAGTGTCCTTTCAACTACATAGGTAATTGTTCCTTGGTAATGAGTTCTGGCTGTCCTGTATTGGTCATTCTTTTTATAGGTATTGAAATATATGATGGCTCCTGCAGCTAAAATTGGACTTTCTACTCCTAGATGAAATTGTTATGTCCTTTGTTCAGCATGTCTCTTTCCCAGTCTTTAGTTTGTTCTATCCACTTTCTACGAGCTACCCATGTGTTAGAACGGATGTCTCTTGCTCCAGTAGGAGCTGAGCAGGTCTCATTGCCTGGGCTCATGGTGAAGCTGGGATAAACCATCTGAGGATGATATCAAAGTGCAATTATATTACACCTACTTCTGTCCTTTTAGCTAAACAAACTTAACATGCCTCAGGCCTAGATCTTTTAAAATATTTCTGAACATTTTCTTTGTGGAGAAAAAGTTCAAAGTGACAAAGGTTACTAAAGCTAGATACACACCTTATGTGTATATTAGAGACATTTTAGTAACCCTTGTCACCAGTGAATATAAGGCAGATGTGTCACAATAAGAATGGAGATGATACACAGGAAAAGATGCTGGAGTACTGTACTCTGTACATTTTTTTTGGGGGGGGAGCAGTTTTAAATGACCTAGTGAGTTGACAGAAACTTGTGTCCAGATAGATAGATAGATAGATAGATAGATAGATAGATAGATAGATAGATAGAT